ATTTTAATGTCTCACAATAAAGTTTCAGTCATGGAACCCGTTGTATCAGAATGATGCAAGTTACTTGTCCGTTTCTGATCATTAAGAATCTCACGTTCGTAATGACTATTCATTCCAGTTCCTAAAAGAGCTCAACCAGTTCACGTCACATTAATTAGCCGTCAATTCGAAAACAGAAATGTTGTTTGGATTGCTTTCTAAAACAAAACCATATCGTTTCGGGGATTCGACTTTTTCTCAACTGAGCATTCCGAAAGCTCAGAATGGGTATTAACCCGACGGATATACCACCGCAGAGAAACGCATGTCTAGCCGTCAATAGCTGATATCGACCTCTACACTCTTAGTGGTGTCAATATCTGTAGCTGGTATTCTCATGGTGCTGATAGACGACACGATTATTTATTACCTGGAATCACACTTTTTATACGCCATACACTTCCAATTGTAAATAAAATTTCTTCTTCGTCTGTCATACATCCTTGTCCTGATGGTATAACAGTATACGGTCTACATGGAGTCGAATAATCAATTTTTAACTTGAAAAGAACATCAACGGAAACCGATCGTAGTTGGCCATCACCAGCAAAGAATTTGGCAACAGTTTGATCGATCGTTGTCGATAAAAATCCATTGGTCGATACAAACTGACCGTCTGAGAAATTAACACACACGAGATTATGATGACTTAATATTGGTGAATTGGACAGTACCGATCTTTCAGAAACGTTTGATGAAGTATCAGCTTTTTGATGAGTTGATTCGTTATCATTCGGTGTATACATTTGTTGAGCTTTTTTTAGCTCAAAAGAGGCGTTTGTCTGGTCGTTTTTCTGATCATACACAATTGCGTAATTATTATGAATTGTTGCATTTGTATCCGGATCTGTGGACTCCATAAGTAAGGTTCTGTAATACGTCACGGCCGTATCGTTCTTTCCCAATGCGCTTAAATAAACACCTATTGTTACGAATGTAGCTGCTCTTCCAACTTCATTCTCCAAATGTACAAATAGTTTATTCAGCGCACATTCGTCCTCATCGTTAACACTCAATTTACAATACCAAACCTGACCATTTAATTTTTCAATCGATTCAAGTCGAAACACAGATCCCGGCGAGAATAAGAACATTTCTTCCTCTTTGTTCGATGAAACCTTGGCAAATCTTGTTTTTGTGATACTGCTGCGAAGTTTAATCTCGAATAAGACAGATTCTAAGTATGGCCGACCTTGTCCTCTGCCACTACGACGTAAAGCACGAATACTTGATGTATACGTCGAGAAAAATGTTTTAAATGAAACAAAGCTGCTAATACTTGATTTTAAGTTCTCTAGTTCATCGATAGTTACATAGTGTCCACTATAGACTATTAATGGTTTTCGAGTATAGGGACTTGACAACTGCTTGTATAAATCGTTAATAAAAAACCAGAACACACATATTTGTTGTACGTCTTCTGTTCGAAGAGCTTTGTTCAATGATTCTTTTATGGGGATATTCTCTAGGAAAAAGTCAATTGCATTATCTGAACTATACATATCCTCGAATTCACTGATGATTTTAACTGTAGTGTTATCGTTGAGAGAAAGCATCTTGTATAATTTTAATGCTTTAGCTTTATTAAGAAAACAGTTTGTTTCATTGGATTCGGATAATATAACATTGATAAATAGTTGAAAAGAGGCAAAATTTCTTTGCTCTTCAGTTAATTCTCTTAACGAATAATATTGTTGTGAATTCTTGTAAAAATGAATCCTTGTTTCGGTTCTTGTAGTGTTAACCGAAAATGGCTGCCGTAATGGAATGCTAGATAATAAATGTAAATCCTGTCTTAGTTTAGCAAGAATTATATTATGTCCTATAAAACTTCCGCGGATTTTAGAATATTGTTTGATGAATTCATTATTACTACTTTCATTCAGGTCTAAAATATAAATGTATATCACTTGAAGGAGATCATGAATAAGAGGAATAATATTTTGTGACAATGATTGTGCGACAATAATGATTAATTCCTTTCCATAAGTTTGTACTATGTACGAAGCACAGTCGAGAGGTTTGATGAATGTTTTTAGATCATTGGTAACATTCTTTAAGCAACGTTCAACAGAGGACGGGATACTTTGTGGAAGTAAATAAACAACGGAGATGTTGCATAAACACTTGTCAATCAAACGCTGCTTCATATAACTGAAAATCGTTGCTTCTGTAGGGGACTTTGTTACAACTTCACTATATTTGTCCCTTGTGTCAAGATGACTCGGTCTTGTTCTCGGATAGATATCAAATATAGACCGAGAAATACACACTTCTTTGCGATTTGATGCTAAAATAAATGTAATGACGGAACTCATTTTTAGTTACAAGTGAACTAAAGACAGTGCAGAGCAGCACCATGAACAATAAAACATAAAAAACATTAACATATACTTTTTATGATCGCCTTCGACTTTTCATATTAAACTGGGTTACGAAAACTGTTTTAGACTTTCTGACCTTACACTGGCAGAGTTGTAGAATTTTCAAAATGAAGTCTTCCAAAACCTGGCAAAATGTGCCATCTCTAGTATTTTCGATATTATGAAGTCAGATTACGTCGCACAATTTCGAACAACGTCTTATTCCGAAGTACACTCAAAACTGCATACAATGATGTATTTGGTGTTCAAAAACATTTTTCTTTGAAAAAGTAAAAGTTCCAATCTATGCGGTTTTAACAGCTTGGAATTTTGTCACGAGTTTTAGCAATTTTAAGGTCGTATATCAGAGTTATCCGCAAACTTTTTTGTCGCATTTTATAGAGTTCTGAATGTCGTACAAGATGGTCTATGTGTGAAAGTTCCCAATAGGATACATCCTCACGAAATTTGGGGAAAAAAATGTATCAGCGAGTGCAAAAATCTAAAGTTCGGCAGTACATTTTTATTTTTTCACTATAAAAATGCCATTTTTAACCAGAAAAAAGGCAGTATTCGGAGTCAGCGTAAAAAACTTGTGTTAATTGTAGCGTGTATTAAATAAAGTTTTGTTTTACAACCGCTTTTTCGTTATAGAAAAGCACAAGCCTTAGAAACTTGAACTAGTCCTTAGTACGGGTACAGTCCTCGAGAGTGCCTTTGTGTAACTTTTCTCTCAACGCACTTGAAAATATACACGTCAGACGTCAACGAAATAATTCGATGATTCGATCTTCAATGGCAGTCAGCCATCCACTTACTAATCGTCGTACTGACGCTTAGCCCAAGAAAAGACAAATTCACTGTCACAACTTCTGTATGAGTCACGCGAGTTTAGTGCGGTGAAAGAAAGAAAATGATTTTGATGGTATTTTAAACTTGACTTACTTGAACTAAATAAATTTTTGTTAACCGCTTTTTCTCTACAGAAAAGCTCAAGCCTTGGAAACTTTATTTAGTTTAAACAAGTGGAGTTTAAAATACCAAAATCATTTTCTTTTTATAATCGCACTAAACTCGCGTGACTCATACAGAAGTTGTGACAATGAATTTGTCTTTTCTCGGGCTAAGTGTTAGTATGGGTGACTGCCATTGAAGATCGAATCACCGAATTATTTCGTTGACGTGGGACGTATAGTATAACCTTGATCTCTTCACATTCTTTCCCTCAGCCTCTTCTTTTATTCTCCTTTTCTTGAATAACAAGCGACGTAATCTGACTTCACAAAATCGAAAATACTAGAGATGGCACATTTTGCCAGGTTTTGGAAGACCTCATTTTGAAAATTCTACAACTCTGCCAGTTTAAGGTCAGAAAGTCTAAAACAGTTTTCGTAACCCAGTTTAATATGAAAAGTCGAAGGCGATCATAAAGAACTAGTACCGTTCATCATTCTGATTCACTTATCCCTTGACTGGAAAGGAATCGCCAATATCAAATTATTTCTATACAACAGAATAATTATCTTTCTTCTTCACATTATATTCTGAAGAACATTCTCAACAAGCAACAGCAAGCAGATACTACGACAGTTCTGACGACTATCGTTGTACTTGCAAGGCAAGAGATAAATGAGGCACGTTCTTAAATTCTTATTTCTGATCACTCTCGTATTATGTCTTGACGTGTCTGCTTGTCTGTTTGCTAATAACTTGTGTCTACACACAGGGGTTAAGTAATGTGTCCATGTGTGTTTTTCGTTTATTTGCGTCTAAGTTTAGGAAACTATGGGAAACTACTAGGAAACTGAGGAACTTTATGGTAAACCAAGCGAAACTGCAAGAGAACCGAAGAGACGTGAAATCAAATTAAAAAAAACTAGAGATTCTGAAGGGAAACTAAGGAAAACCGAAGCAGACTAAGGGAAATCGATGAGAAACTACTGTAAGCAGCTAAACGCTGGATAAAACAAGAATCATTACGCAATAATTTACGCAATGCTTGTCTCGCTGAGCGCCTTCGGCGCTGCTTCAATGGGCATTCATTAATGGGCCGAAGTTTCTTCTAACCGAAGCAGTTTTTTCTTAATGATCACTTACCATGAGGTGGAACTATTTTCGCTACACATCCCACAGGCATGATGCTACCCCTTGCTCACGTAATTGCTAACCTGAAGTTCTATTCTGTTCTGAACCAAACTTAGGTACCCCAATAGAATTTACCAATTTCCGTATACTTTAACTCGATAACACCCTTCCCTTTACAGTCAGGGCAATATCATTTTCGTCTACTCAAGCTGAGATGAAATTTTCGATCAACAGAATCGATCCCAGAGGTCGCCCATTTTCTGATTCCTCATAGTCGAATACCTATTCCATACCATTTCATCCTATCAAGTTGAGCCAAGTAAGGCTTGCTAGCCCGCCGATTCTCCCACGAAGTCATAGAACTGTTCAGCTGATGTTCTACTTTTTATTGCACTATCGGTCGTAAGTAACGCTTGCTTGCAACGTAACAGTTTTTCACAGTGGTGATCCCTCCCTGCACATATACTCAAGGTGACTCTAGCTTGACGTTAGGAACTTATGCGTGAGAACGACCTTCGATGACATCGAATCAAAAGCAACGCTCACACCTCCCTCTTCGGTCGGTGTTCGCTAGAGGACTATCCGAACTATATGTGTGTGTGTACGTCCGTTATACAGTGTACAAATGTATGTGTACTCCCGTCGGTCACACTGATGTTTTTCGGTGGCATATACATAACCATTTCCTTATTCCTCATAGTCGAATACCAGTTGTACATCATTTTCATCCTTCGAAGCTGAGATATACATTGCCACCAATAGAACCAATAGTAGAGATCGCTCATACTCATTTTCTGATTCCCATAGTCGACTACCTACCCCATATCATTTTGATCTTAATGTTTGCCTACGACAAAATACTTTTGAGATATTGTTTCACACAAAAGCGTCAAGGGGCGTTCTTAATGTTTTTCTCAAATGCGTCTGCATGCATTCGCAATACAGCATTATTTTTCAAGTCAAACAGAACGCTACGTTAGCATTCAGTACAAAAATTGGACGTTAACTCTGTAAAAACTGTATAAAACGACACCTTAACTTCCTATGACTCAATCATCGCGCTATTTTGTTACCGCATTCAAAAATTAAGAGAGCTTCCACGAGCCTATCGAGTATACCTGTCACTCGCAAAAAAAGATTTTGTTAAAAGTTAAATCATTCGATTCGGCATGAAAACCCGGGGTTACGAAACGTTTTCAAACCTTGTGAGTCATTTTGCTTTGGAGAAAATCAGATTTTCCCAAGACCTAAGTCTAAAAAACCCGAAAATTAACCAATTTCAGCTTTTTATGTATAAAACCGTCCGTTTTCGTTCCACTTTTTCGAACCACATTTCATTCGAAAGAGTGCACAAAACTGAACAAAATTTGATATTTAAAAATATTTTAAAGTTAAAATAGCAGTCGCAAAAAAATATTTTACTAAAATTTAAAACGGAACAATATCTCATATTCAGAAAAATTTTAGATTCAAAATAGTAGTCAAAATAATGGATTTTCGCAAAGTATTATTATTATTGTTATTGTTATTGTTATTTGAAAAGACATGATCGTCTTCACTCATTCTGGATAAGTAACCAATCTTTATTCAAAAGATAGCGCACGTTGAGTGAAAAAAAATTTAAACGGCGTGAAGATTACCAAAACATTCCGATGAAAAAGCGTTTTGGACAACTTGGTTTTCTGTCTTCTGGAAACGCTATTATCAACTTTTCTCATGAAACGTTGTATTTCACTCCAGTAATGATTTGATCTAAAATACCATTTGTGCCCAATT